TGTGTGTGTGTGTGTGTGTGTGTGTGTGTGTGTGTTCTTGTTTATTGTACAAGTGAGGTCGTGTGTTTTTAACCATCAAAGTGGGGACGTTGGGTTCAGAGAGGTGTGGTTTCAGCTCAGGTTGGGTCTCGAGGCCTGACCTCGGCTCCTCCAGATGTCCTTGTCTTTAGAAGACATTTGTCCTCGTGGACAGCTGCAGGTCCACAAGTCTTTAAGGTGTGGGTTCTGGAGGCGGAGCTTCTAAGTGATGATTGACAGCTGGACAGATTTTATCAGCTCAAACTAAACAGATGAAAGAGCTGCTCAGTTTGTGTTGGACTGATGAAGATGAAGATGATGACGACACCAGAGCAGGTGGATCTGCTCCAACCACAACATCATCAGTCATCAGAGGACCTCCAGCAGGACCTCCAGCAGGACCTCCAGCAGGACCTCCAGCCGAGGACAGAAAACAGAGTCTGGTCTCCAAACAGACCTTGGACCAGATGATGGTATAAAACCCTTCAGTCTGACTGAGCTCCATCAGAAGATGAAGTCTTCTCCATTTCCCGCCATGATGATGATGATGATGATGGTGGTGGTGGTGGTCTGTGTCTCTGCCAGTCCTCTTCCTGCCCCACCTGAAACCTCCAGGTGAGTCCTGACCTCCAGGATCTGAAGTGTAAAAGGTGGGGGTGCTCTGAGATGATTGTTGTGTTTCCTGCAGAGAGGCGGAGCCTAACACAAGGAGTCTTCCTCAGCTGATGAAGGGCGAGGAGGAGAGGAACTCCACCTGGTGAGTCAGCAGAACCACACGCTCACCTTTAATCAGAGACACACCGCTTTTTAACAAAGGAAAATATTTCATTACAAACACCTGCAACAACAATAAATACATGAAAAAAATAAAGTTTATTGATTAAAACATGTTTAGATTCACAAATAAATTCCTGTTTGTTTTTAAATATGAATTATTTGAACTGAAAATCAGTTTTTGGACCTGCTTATTTTAAAGGCTTTAGTTTTATTTTGAAAGATTTTTGTCCTTTTTAAAATCATGAATTAAATATGAGGCAGTCATAACAACAACAACAACAAAACAACAATAATAATACAGTGTGAGGCTTCACAGCGTTCACACTGAGATTATTTTCTTCATTTTTTCATCATCTGACTCGTTTCACAATGTTTGTGCTGTTTCAATAATTCATGTGTGAAAACGTTCAGCTCATTCATGTGAACGCTGCTGGCACTTTTGGTATTTCAGCTTTTTATATTTTTTTAGCTCTTTCACTTTTTTAGCCACTTTTTTGCTGTTGAAAATGAATGGAGCTGTTTWCAGCATCCTTAAAATAATTTAAAATGTTTCTAAATCTTTACAGAACCTTACATATTTTGTTCTGGTTCTGCTCTTTTTAAAAAAAATTTTGCTAATTAAAGCTACTTTTTTAGCTTTTTTCTGCTATTTCAGCTAAAATTAAGCTTTTTCWATTTTTATGTTTTTTTCTGCTACTTTGTGCTGTTTATGCTTTTTACAGATGCTTTTTGTTATATCCAGCTGTTTACTGAAATTATAGCTGTTTAGATGCTATTAGTTAAAGTTCTAAGCTACATGTACACTTTTGTAGCTATCACAATTTTTTAACTGACTTAAGCAAACTTGTGCATTGATTGATTGATTGATTGATTGATTGATTGATTGATTGATTGATTGATTGATTGATTGATTGATTGATTGTATTTAGCAGTAATGTACATGTACATACACATCTAGTACATTCATTATTAGTACTTGGACAACAGAAGACAGTGAGAATCACTTGTTTCCACTGTGGTCCTTAAATGAAGTGACAGAGTTCTGTGGAGGAGAACAGAGACACAATGATGAGAACAGACACACAATGATGAGAACAGACACACAATGATGAGAACAGACACACAATGATGAGAACAGACACACAATGATGAGAACAGACACACAATGATGAGAACAGACACACAATGATGG